GCTAGAAATCGCAAGACTGCCGCTAGCTTTAGCAATGGTGGAATGCTAGATGCAGGCAAGTGGGGTTTTACGATATCTAGCACCATAATGAATGCGTCTTTGTTCAGGCGATATTGTGCAATGAATCTGTATGATAATTGAGGCGTTACTAAAATTGTCGGGCTTAAAAAGGATATGTACTTACGCTGACTCTGGCAGCTCCAACGGATTGCTGCGGTCTCTTAAAATTTTCCGTTTCACCTTCTCAGAAACTTCTTCCTGCATCAATAAAAAAGCTGCTACTGCTGCGGCCATTGCTTTTTATTTAATTTTCACTTTGATTTAATTTTTTCAACAACTTTGTCAAAATCTTCACAAATGCAAATTGAAAAGAATTGAACTTAGCAAAACAGCTGATTCGAATATGGGTTTTGTGTATGTTCGAAAAGAGCCAAATCCAATTAGATTCTGTGACACCTTCTAAAATCGGAATTGGTTTGGAATTCCGACAATGGAGCAAATCCGGCTTGGTTTCCACAACAGCCCTGATTCTGATAAAAAATTCCACGCCTATGGGATGTGCCACGCCCCCTTTTACAAACTCCTTTATATATACCCTCCTATAAGCGCCTACCATTTAAATATCTGCATACCAAATTTGAAGTTCGTGTGAGTTATGGTTCCGAAGTTATAGCTGATAAAAAATTCCATGCCTATGGGATGTGCCACGCTCCCTTTTACAGACTCCTTTATATATACCCTACTATAAGCACCTACCATTTAAATGTCTGCATACCAAATTTCAAGTTCGTGTGACTTATGGTTCCGAAGTTATGGCTGATAAAAAATTAAACGCCTATGGGATGTGCTACGCCCCCTTTTACAAACTCATTTATATATGCCATACTATAAGCGCCTACCGTAGACATGCCTGCATACCAAATTTCAAGTTCGTGGGACTTATGGTTCCGAAGTTATAGCTGATAAAAAATTCCACGCCTATGAGATGTGCCACGCCCCCTTCTACAAACTCATTTATATATAACCTCTTATAAGCACCTACCATTTATATGTCTGTATACCAAATTTCAAGGTCATGTGACTTATGGTTCCGAAGTATGGCTGACTAAATATTTCACGCCTATGGAGGTGCCACGCCCCCTTGTAGGATCCCTATTTTTTTCACCCTATTATAGGCCCAGGAGTCATGGCAATACTCTGTCAAAATTTTGTTCGATTCTGTCCGTCCGTTTAGGCTGCAACGTGACACATACATACATACATACATCCATACTTCCACAAATATATAGTAGATAACTCTTTGTGTTCTATCAGAGAGGTAAGAAGAGATCCATTGAAGAAGACTGGGCTGAAAGCCGATTTGGTCGAGTTTACGGATGAGTAGCGAGTGACATTTGTCAAAGGCTTTACTGANACACATACATACATACATACATCCATACTTCCACAAATATATAGTAGATAACTCTTTGTGTTCTATCAGAGAGGTAAGAAGAGATCCATTGAAGAA